TATGGGAATGTTTGACCATTCTTCCAGAAGCACATTTGTGAGGTTAGGTGCTGATGTCAGCCGAGAAGGCCTGGCTAGCAGTCTCTGCCCTAATATATCCCAAAGGTGTTCTGTCAGGTTGAGGTCAGGACTCTGTGCAGGCCAGTCAAGTTCCTCCACCCCAAATTTGCTCATCCATGTCTTTATGGACCTTGCTCTGTGCACTGGTGCGCAGTCATGTTGGAACAGGAAGGGGCCATTCCCAAACTGTTCCCACAAAGTCGGGAGCATTAAATTGTCCAAAATGTCTTGGTACACTGATGCCTTAAGAGTTATCTTCACTAGAACTAAGATGCCAAGCCCAAACCCTGAAAAACAACACCACACCATAGTCCCCCCCTTCACCAAACCTTACACTTGGCACAATGCAGTCAGGCAAGTACCGTTATCCTGGCAACTGCCAAACCCAGACACATCCATTGGATTCCCAGACAGAGAAGCATGATTCCTCACTCCAGAAAACACGTCTCCACTGCTCTAAAGTCCAGTGGCGGCCTGCTTTACGTCACTGCAACCGACGCTTTGCATTGCACTTGGTGATGTAAGGCTTGGATGCAGCTGTTCGGCCATGGAAACCCATTTCATGAAGCTCTCTATGCACTGTTGTTGTGCTAATCTGAAGGCCACATGAAGTTTGGAGGTCTTTAGCTATTGACTCTTAAGGCAGTTGGTGACTTCTGCACTCTGTGCACTTCAACATGCACCAACCCCGCTCTGTCATTTTACGTGGCTTGTTGTTGCTGTTCCCAGTTGCTTACAATTTGTTATAATATCACTAACAGCTGACCGTGGCGTATTTAGTAGCAAGGAAATTTCACAGATGGACTTATTGCACAGGTGGCAACCTATCACGGTACCACACTTGAATTCATTGAGCTCCTGAGAGCGACCCATTCTTTCACAAATGTTTGTAGATGCAATCTGCATGCCTAGGTGCTTGATTTTTATACATCTGTGGACATGGAGGTGATTGGAACACCTGAATCAAATAATTTAAAGGGTTGTCCTAATACTTTTGACAATATAGTGTACCTTAAAACAGAACTTCTCAAATAAGGAATGTGTTTTTTTTTTATCATGTCTGAACACTTATTAGGATGTCTTATTTTAAAATAGAAAAATGGAGCACAAAAAGAGAAGAGCTGTCACCCTTAACCATCTATTAGATTAATTTTCAAATCTGCAGTAGAGGTTGAAAGTTGGAATAAGATTTGCTAAGACCCATGTCACTCTTAAGCGAGCATATCCCTCTACTGCTCTCTCACTGAACAAACGAGTGAGGTGTCATTCCTTCATTGTCTCCATACTATCAACTGAGCTTCTATAGCGCTAGTGAGAGAGCAGGCTCCATTAGAAAAAGTGGAATTTGCATTTTGATGATTCTGAGCTCCAATAGGGAACCTAATGTGTCTTTCACCCTGTGTAGGACAGCTGAAGGTTTGAGTGAAGGAAGATTATAGAGGACGGTTCAGTTTTTATTATTTTATTACCTTGAGATTCTTGTCTCAGTTGCAAATAACACCAGAATGAGAGTCATGAGAATTGAATTCCCTTTCTTTACCAAAAAGTTCAATCTACCGTACTTGAAGGAGAAGGTTCTTAAAGAAATAACTATTAAAATGGCGGTAAATGGCCAAGGTGGGAAGTGGAAGGGCTAGAGTTAATAAAGGATTAGATTAGAATAATCTTAAAATGCCTATTCACATCATATCTATTTGGCTGTGCTGGGCAGCCTTGCCTATTGCAATCCCAACTCATAGTGAAGGCAATTTTCCTTATATCATGTTAGTTCAGTTCACCCTGTTGCACTGAAAAAAATGTATAACATACTGTACCTTTTTTTTCAGTGCAGTGTGTTGCATGTCTACTAAACTGGGCCTGACTGATTGAAAACAATGGATTTTTTGTAGTCTTGAATGACATAACAAACTCTACTTTTTTTTTTTTTTTCAGTGTAGTGTGTTGCATGTCTACTAGACAAGATCTAACTGATTGAAAACAATGGATTTTCTGCAGTCTTGAATTATATAAAGCACCCACAGAGCTTCAGGAACAGTGAGCCCATGTGATATTTCCCTAGGCTTTATTGCATATACGGGAGCTTGAGAATGGTGACAAGCTGCGGGCTTGCTCCAGAGCCTGGCTGCGTGTGCCTATTAACACACACCGTGGCTCAGCTCTACCTTCACCCGCTCCCTCCTCATAGCATATGACTGACAGCAGTCGGAGCCAATGGCTGAACCTGTGAGAGGGGAAGAGCGAGAGCCAACATTACTGCGGATGGGCGCAGTGTTGGATCAATATAGGACTCCGTTCTGGTAGGTTTTTGGGGAGGGGGATGGGGGGAACAACTAGTGGAAGGTTTTTTACCTCAATGCAGGTAATGCATTAAGGCAAAACCTTTTGGCTTTAGAAACCCTTTAAGCTGACCATACACTCTTACATTTATTTTTTGTTTTTTTCAGCATGGCTGTATAGCCATGCTATATAGCATGAATGGATGAATTCCCTGCTGTGCCTATTATATTCTGACAGCAGCTGGCAATGGCTGTCCTAATACCTGAACAGATTGGATGCAGCTTCTGTTCAGCCAAACATTTCCACCAAGCTTCTTCGTCAAAAGCCATGTGGACATTTGACTTTTGTCTAATGGGGCTGGCAATGCCACCCAATGAGCAAATTTTATCCAGTTCATTGAAGCCAGCTGAAATTGATTTGGTGTATGGCCTAAGTTCTCATCCTAGGTGAAGCCACAATCAGGCTGTTGTTGATCCTGTGAGCAATGTCACTGACTTTAAGTAACCATAGCAGAGATGCAAATCCTTGTTACTAGCCTAGAAATAATTTTTCATGACAGATTTACTTTAAAGGAAGTGTATTAACAGAGCTCTTTCCAAAGAGGTGCCGCAGGAATACTGTCCAGGTCTTCCCCACCTGCTTTGTCCAACAGCCAGGCACATAGGCTCATTCACACATTCCTTCAATCACCAGTCTAGGGGTGTTTTTTGTTGTTTTTATTTTTGGAAAACTTGGATAGCGTTGAAGAAATTAGGTGAACAAAAAACAAGAACTATATACACTTGAGAACTTGGGTATTTTTCAGGATAAGCTACAACCAAGTCTGTGCTTGAAATAAATGGTAGACTTGAGCTTTAAGGTAGTAGTAGCTGTAAACACAGATCAGACTGACTTGTGGAACGGCAATGGACGAGCAGGTGAGCAGTATTGTATGTGCTGCCCTTCCCTGGGAAGTATCGGAGACCTCAAGGACACAAGAATACTTAATACTCCTTGATATTAGGTGCAGGTGGACAGGAAGAAAAATGGTGTCACAAGTAACTGCATGCCATTTCTGGTTGGCTACTTGCCCAAAGGTGATGCTATTCATAGTCTATCTATACTTACCATAGCCAGAGTTGGATGAGCTGCTCCCTGATGCTGTCAAGTTCTTTATTGCTCAAGATATTTTCTGATTTTTCTTCCTGCTTTGCACTTTACGGGGACCTGTGTGATGGACTAACGCTTTTAATTTCCTATGGGATATAACCATCTAATGGATGATTTTTTCTCACACAAACCGCCACACTGACCATCTAGGGCCTAGTCCCCTAACTGAGCATGCCTCTTTTAGGCTTTCAAACTCCAGGGTTATTTTAGTGCACTTGTGTCTCCTCTTGACTATTGGGTCCTTAGGGATCCCAGATTCACACATGGGGGGCTACCTTGAAAGCTATTTTTGACAATACAAGAGGCGTGTTGCCGTGGTATGTAACCCATATGTGAATTTACATGCGTCCGGACATATTTTTATTTTTGTTTGTCTAATTTGTTTTGTCTATTCATGGTTTCTATGTGCTGCATTCAATGATTGATGCTTGCATCCACCCTGGTGTTTTACTCATGTTAATTAATAAAACTGTTGGTTTTATGATACTTAGTATTAAGACTCAATTACTGCGATACCTATGTCTAGTAAATATTTGTCATCAATACTAACCACTTTTGCCTACTCTTTGGGCAGTTCTATTTTTTTGCTTTTAATGTTTTTTGGTTGCAGTGACAAACGCTTAACTTCTAGCGGAGATGCATTGGTACATGCATTTTCACCAACCTCAAAGGTCTTTTTTTGAGTAAATTGTTTGCTGCTTGTCTGGGAAAATCTAACCCACATCTCTGAAAGGGGGGGGGGGGTCACTCGCGGAGGTCTATTAGGCTGTCACACTTTTGATTCTGCCCATGGTGACACACTGCACTAGGTAGAATCATCTGATGGGAAGTGACCTCTTCCCATGATCAGTTTCTGGCATGGCACACTGTCGAAAATGACTCATTAGCGAGAGAGAAGGGACAGAGCAACATGTTTTTGGTCTGACCAACTAATCAGTGAAGCCAAAGAAGAAGCCAAGTGGTTCTTTGTGATCTTGTTGCTGTTGAATTGTGGCCAGCCACAGGCTTGCTCCTGTTACATGGCCCTTTGACACTGTACAGCCAAGACATTGTTTTTTTTTTTAACCAAATGAAATAAGGATCAACTAATATTGATTAGAAACTTTGCAATTATTATAAACCTTACACCCAAAAACAAAATAGAGTATAGACTTTTGTGGGACACCTAGACATAAGATGATTGCTGGCTAGTTTCACCCACATTGGGTGACTTATGCTGTGTACCCACAGATGGCATAGTGATGTTACTTTGAGTCAATTCTTTCAGGTTGCATTTTCCTTGACTTTTATTGCTCCCGAGACAAGACTGCCTGGTGCATGAACTTAAAGGCTTGTGTGATAAAAGCACGCATATCCATGCATATTAACAATACTCAGTTTGTGGCAATATATGCAATCTCCATCTTCTCTGTTGAAAGGAAGGAAGTGCATGTGAAAACTGGTGCTGAAATTGGCACTAAACACTTCTTTGACATGAATGTTTGTGATTTGCAGGCTCCCTTCATCCTACCACCATGTCCAGCAAGAAGACCAAGGCAAAAACTACCAAGAAGCGTCCCCAGAGGGCGACTTCCAATGTATTTGCTATGTTTGATCAGTCCCAAATCCAAGAGTTCAAGGAAGCTTTCAACATGATTGACCAGAATCGGGATGGTTTTATTGACAAGGAGGATCTCCATGACATGCTTGCCTCCATGGGTATGTAAAGCTGTTTATTCAGACCAAATCTGCTCAAAGCTTTTGTTTTTTCTGGGTAAATACATACACATAGGCTAGCTTGTTATGCTAGCTGTACAGTAACTTAGTTTTATTATATTTTCAAGATACAACCGTTCCTAACCTCGGGAACCACTAAGCAACTCATTCACTCCCTTGTTATATCACGCCTCGACTACTGTAACTCCCTCCTCATTGGCCGACCTCATCGCAGGCTATCCCCCCTCCAGTCCATCATGAATACTGCTGCCAGACTCATTCACTTTACTAACTGCTCTATATCTGCCACCCCTCTCTGCCAATCCCTCCACTGGCTTCCAATTTCCCAACGGATAAAATTCAAAACACTAACACTGACGTATAAAGCCGTTTATAACACTGCCCCAAATTACATCACCGACCTTGTCTCTAAATACCACCCAAACTGTACTCTCCGCTCCTCACAAGACCTCCTACTCTCTAGCTCCCTTGTCTCCTCCTCCCATGCTCATTTCCAGGATTTCTCAAGGGCTTCACCCATCCTCTGGAACTCCCTACCCCAAGCTATCAGGCTATCGCCTACTCTGCTCACCTTTTAGGCGCACTCTGAAAGCCCATCTCTTCAGGGAAGCCTACCCTGACCCCAGCTAATACTGGAATCAACTACTCCTCCCTACCACTCCATCCCCCACAGCTAATTACCTCTTGTACCACTGTCCCCTCCCTCCTAGATTGTAAACTTCAAGGAGCAGGGCCCTCTAATCCCTCTTGTATTGAACTGTATTGTTACTGTACTGTCTCCCTCCATAATGTAAAGCGCTGAGCAAACTGTTGGTGCTATATAAGTCCTGTATAATAATAATATTAGCCATGCAATGAATATGAACATTCTGAGTGACAGCTGAGTAGGACATAAAAACATCACAACTCTAAAAGATAAAGATCCCCAATTGACCTTTCAGTTTAAATCTTCTAACTTACATCACAGGTGAACCAAAATAAAAGGTGTTTAAATGTAGCCTTCTTTTAGGGTGGTATGGAAAATGGCCCTCCTCAAACAGGACGTTGTGTTAAACCTGTAGGTAAATAAGAGAACCAGATCCTGGAAGAGTGGGATTGATAATGAAGTTGGCAATGCCTCCATCCCCCATGACAAAGCCTCTGTGAACAGGGGAGATTTCCTTCTTAGAAAACGAACCTTTAAGTTAATCAAAGTAATTATGAGCAGAGGAACTACTGCAACCAGCATATGACATTAACCATAAGTATATACGTAGATGCACACCACTATGGAATAATACAAGCTTTATATAAGAAAAGATTAAGGCCTCATGCACACAGCAAAAAAAAAAAACTGTCCTAGAAGCCTTCCTCCTGGTAGCAGCGTTTTTGCAGGTAAAAATGCCTGATGCTTGTAAAAGTATCTAATGCTTTTCCAAGCGCTTAGGCACATTTACAAGCACCAAGCGCTTGGGTGTTAATTCATTTAATTGGCCAGAATAATAATTTATTCTGGCCATTGAAATTAATTACAGCTCAAGTGCTAAACTCCTCTAGTGTTTCCACGCATTTAGGTAAACGCTACTGCTTGTAAACTCTACCGCTACTATAAAAGCTTCTAAGAGTCTATCTGTGCATGGACACATAGGATAACATGGAGGGCCGTTTGGAAGCAGTAGAAAAAAAAATGCCTGACGCTCCTAAAAGTGGCCTAATAACAGAACATGCTTCTTATGTACAAACAGGTATTATCAGTGAAGGGCCAAATAGGAGTCCTGGTCTATATATACCTGGGTATATATAGTTAATAATAAAGATACTCCAGATAAATGTTGCAGCAAAGTTCAGTTGCAGGGGTCCCTGAGAATGATTCGGGATGCAGCATCCGTCTTTGTGTCAGGGACCTGAAGACAAGATCAGCGGTGATGGGGAGATTGTCCAACCAGCCTGGAATGGAGCTACTCCCCTATCCTGCCTATCAAGTCTGTATCTTAGTCCCTATTCGTTTCTAATTTGTCATACAACCGGACCTCTAACTACCAGAAACGGCCATCAAATGCCTAACCTAGCTCTAGCCTATGCTGGTATTTGAGCTCTAAGCTAAGACCAGAATAGCCAGGGCTAACTAAATTAACATGAGCTGCATATAACGCTATTGCAATAAACAGGTTCGATTACTACACACATACTGTAGCACAGACCTAGCTATATGGCACTGTGCATGCGAGATAACAACCATAGCATAGAAATATGTCTGTCACAAGGATTTACTGTAAGTACACACTAAACAAGCTATGGTCAGCTGCAGTTAACTATTAGAACATATGAATACTTGCTTAATACTCTCTGCATTTGGCCTAGGCGAAATATACAGTACCCTGAAAAAGTATTCATACCCTTTGAAATTTTCTACATTTTCATGTTACAACCAAAAACGTAAATGTATTTTATTGGGATTTTATGTGATCAACCAACACAAAGTGGCACATAATTGTGAAATGAAAGGAAAATGATAAATGGTTTTCAATTTGCAGTGGTATGAATACTATTTAAAAGCACTGTAGCAGATCCTGTGTGTGAAAGGTCATGTGACTCTGACTTTTCCTCTTCAGTTCCTCATTATGGGGTTTTCAATAACCCAGAGATAGGAAGTGCATACATATCAGCAGCCTAGGCATTTACAAATACAGCCAGCAGAGGGCAGCAGATACCTACAAAAACATAATGCATTTAGGGAAAAGCATGGACAGTGGAAGAATGATTAATACTGGGGTTCTAGCTTGTAGGATAGCTGGAGGAATCCTAGAAGGGTGTGCTAATTGCTAGACTACTTCCCATCCCATAGAGGGCATTAGATTGTATGTAAGATTTGTATCTGCTTGTGTGTGGTCAGCCAGCTGGATTGGAATGGAGTCTCCCTCTTTTTTTGATTGAAAAGATACTTTTATTACAGAAGCATCAAAAACAACATGATACGTGTAATCGGGGTACATCTCACCCTATACTGCGACGCAGCGCACCACATGGCAATATAGTTCCAAGCATACAATAAATACATTCAGAAATAAATACATTCGCTCAGCGGTATGATGCCTGACGTGATGTGCAGAGGATGAATCCCCTGACCGCCACGTCATGCATAACGCCGCTTACCCCAAAAACTGTAACATTCTAATACACATTACGTTTCCTAATAATACTAGTGCATGCAAAGACGAAAACCGGATATTGCGATCAACAATAGGCATCGGGTGTGTGTGGGAAGGGGGTGGGGGGGGAAAGAAACACAGGCCCGAAGCTTTATTGAAAAGACAAAGACACGCAAGGGGGAGTAGGGGGAAGGGGGAAATCTTCAGATGTCCTCTTCCTCCTTAAAGTCCATCAAGGAATAGTCTCTGAGCAGACTGAGGATCAGTCTGCGGCAGTCCTCAATGGACATCCTCTCCCGCTGGTGGATGAGGCGCTTTCTGGCGCACCATAAAGCGTCCTTAAAACAACACAGCACCCGCCAGGCGCCGTCAATGTCCTCCAGAGAAAAGGTTCCACAGAACAGTCCATTCAACACCCCAAAGTGAGTGATGGCTGTCTGTGGTACAAAGTCCTTGAGTTCAGGTTCCAGGGCCCCCAACAGGGCCTGAGCAAATGAGCACTCCCAGAAAACGTGGTAAGACGTTTCCTCGTGGATGATGCAGAAGGGGCAGTGTCTGTATCTGCTCAGGTTCCTTTATGGAAACCTTGCTATCCCTGATGAACAGTTTGATGGGTAAGGTATCCAAGTAGTACCAAGGATTTTCCCATCCCAGTTGTAAGGGGATGGAAAGAAAAACTATCCCAAGTGTCCCACCCCAGGGACCACGTCCATAGAGGCAAACAGGAAAAAAGCGAGATAGGGGAGATGACATTGCTGCGTCCCTCCAGAGTCCATAATCCATTTGGGCAAACATTTATATATATTTATTCTGCGGCGGGACGCAATGTGCAAGCATAAGGAAGAAACACCCTCAGCTGGGTGGCCGATGTCGGGCACGCCCTTCTTACCGCACTATGCGTAGGGTGTTCCTTGATAATGACTGCCCGCTTCACTCTGTTACCATTCTTGGAAGCCCCCAGAATGAAAAAACACCGCCTGGTGATTGGCCTTACCGGTTGAAACATTGGATGGAGTCTCCCCTTGTGGTGGTGCCAAAGGTAGTGCAGGCTGTGGATTGAATATCAAATGACAGTGTATCACGACAAGTCTTATATGCTCCAAAGTCCCCCTCATTTACTCCCTCTTTACCAAGTCACGGATACACACTTTGGTTAGTTTCCATGGGTGTCGCATCTATCCATGACAAGATTGGTCCACTTCTGATCTACAGTGTTGGCCACACTTCTTCCAAACACCCCTCATTAAGAGGTCCCTATACAGATCTTTAGTTGGACTCATTTTCTTCTTGGGACTAGTGTCCATTTCTGGACCTCACTTACACAATCAACTGTGTCTAAATCTGGATCATTTCTCTTCACTTCATCCTTTCTGCACCATAAAGGACCTCAACTAGAAGTGAAAGGAAAACAAATCCTTTCTCCTTGGTCTCATGAGTGAGAGTCCCCGGATTGTCTTAATCACTAGAACTCTAACTCCCCTTTGTCATAATTTCCCTCTTCTATCTCATCCTTACCTTCTGGTTGACAACTCAAAATTTGGGATATTTTTTTCCATCCTTCCTTCTTAGGTAATATTATTATTATAATACCGGATTATTTTTTTTACAGGATTTTTTATTATTTTTTTTTTATAATTTTTACTTTCTTTCAGGAGGGCACTTCTTTGCTTTAACAATCTAGGAGGAATTGAGTTTACAGAAGTAATAACTGGGGGGGGATGAGCGATGGAGGAAATTATTATGGCATTTTTCTAGGTAGAAGCAGATAACTTTCTTTAAAAGAGAAGCGATTCTCCTTCTCCTTCTTCTCATTAATTCTCCTTCTTCTCATCGTCTTACATAGATCGATACTGGTCCCTAGGTAGGGAGTTCTCCATAGGATCTACAAGCCTACTTCACCATATGGGAGGGGGTCATTCTGGGAACTTAAAGATATCAGAAGGTCTTGGACGGGGATTGAAGGGAGCGGTTTTCTTCTTTTGAATTTTATTTGTTTGGTGCGAGTGGAAGCCAGGGGAGGGATTTGGCAATATCCTATCATGGGATGAGGCTTCCGGCAGCACATCTAAGTAAAACCATTCTCCTTCTAACAAATCCTCTCCTTCAATCCCTAAATGGGGTGCAGACAGCAATAAAAAAAAAACCCTGACTCATCTTCATTCCCATCCTGTATCCCTAAGGCAACACCACTTTCTGACCCAAATGGGAGTAAAATAATCTATTGTTGGGTCATCCTGTGGCCTACACTCTTCTCATAGCACTCCCAGCTTTTTTACTGTCAACCTTTTCCCTTCTGGTGTCAAAAACCACTGCAAAAAATCCTTCTTAACCTCCTGTATTGGTATCTAGTGGACACAATAATAATCATCCAACATTGGGTGTCAGTGGGGACTTCAATAATAACCCCTAGTATTGGTGTCTCCTGGCTCAATAATAATTCCCCAGTAATCTCTTAGGTTAGTGGATCTCAATAACAACTCACCCAACCTATATTTGAGAAAAAAAAAAGGGACAATTGTTTTTAATACACCATGACTTTTCAAACGGAATGTCACTTGCTCAGGATTTACATTTACTTGAAGAATTTTTGTTGGTTTTTTTCTAGGTAAAAACCCCTCTGATGAGTATTTGGAAGCGATGATGAGTGAAGCCCCAGGTCCTATAAACTTCACTATGTTCCTGACCATGTTTGGAGAGAAACTAAATGGCACAGACCCAGAAGATGTCATCAGAAACGCATTTGCCTGCTTTGATGAAGATGCAACAGGTACAGTAAATTTGTCATACTTCAAAAACAAAGTAAAAAAAGAGCAGAGCCATACTAATGGAAACCAACTGTTTTATGGAAATTATTGGTGGTACACTGCTTTTTATACATTTATTTTTGCAATAGAAAAACTATGCGGTGGTTGAAGTTGCTTAAAAACTGACATGTAATTGGTCAGCATACAATTTTTAGTAATTTTCTACTATCAATCCACTGAGAATGGTGAATACAGTCAAATTTAAGGGCTATCAACTAAGCAAATTACCCACAAGTCAGGCCGACCACCAGAATTTGGTCAACTGTGAAGTTGAAACTATCCATCAAATGCGCAAATTTATAGTCAAATGGCAATATGAAGATACATTAAGGACACATATTATGACATTTTTGAGATATACTGTTATATATATATATATATATATATATATATATATATATATATATATATATATATATATTTTTACTTACTTTTATAAATATACATAATTTCTTACTATTCTTAAGACTTGCCTAGCCAGATGAAACATTGTTAATTTTCATTTGTTCTGTTGCAAAGACAACTTCATCAAAGTTTTATGAAGTAAACAGTTGATAAAAAAAAATGGCAGTCAGCTTGAAATGGAATCAAAATTGGAAATGGGGAAAAAAATCCAGTAGGATCGTTAAAATGTGATCTGATTTATTTCACCCAATTTATTTAATGCAGTTTGGATTCCATATCCATGGGGTCCATTAAAATGGAATAATAGGTTTGATCACTTGATTAAATTGCCAGTTTAAAGTGGAACTAAACCTTCCTCTCCTTTTCAGCCAAGGAAGCTGCCATGTTAGTCTCTGGTTCATCTGCAACTGCCATGGTGCTACACATGTGATCAGTTATGACATCAGCCATTTGATGGTTTGACAATTCAGTTGAGAGCACAAGCAAATGTGACCGTTCTCACTCATGGCACTCCTGGAATAGAACTGTTTTTTGAAATAAAGTGATTGTAAACCCTTACCTACACCCAGTGAAGAGAGTGGCCTCTGTGATACACATATATGTACATGAACAAATCCTCCTGTGGGGTAGCACAGTGGCTAAGTGGTTAGCACTTCCACCTGGCAATACTAGGGTCATTGGTTCAAATCCCAACCATGGCACTACCTGCCTGGAGTTTGCATGTTCTCCCTGTGCCTTGTTGGGTTTCCTTCCACACTCCAAAGACATGCTGGTAGGTTAATTGGCTCCTGTTCAAATTGGCCCTAGCATGTGTGTGTATATGAATGTGAGTTAGGACTTTAGATTGTACGCCCATTGAGTTAGGGACTGATTTGAATGTACAATAATGTGTGTGTGTGTGTGTATATGTATGTGTGTGTGTGTGTGTATGTATATATGTATATGTGTATATATATATATATATATATATATATACACACACATATATATATACACACACACACACATAAAGCGCTGCATAATTGATGGCACTATATAAGTACCTGTAATAAATAAGTTGCACCAGTTTATCTGCAGTCTTCCCTTCTCCACAACCATTCAAGGAGCATAATTTACACAGGGCAGCTCTGAGAGCTGATTGGAGGGAAGGGACACACCCCTATTCACACAGCACACAGGAACAGAGCCGAGGCTCTCAATCAGCTGTAGGTCCCTCCCCTGTCACCATTTTTCTTTTGGTGTCGGGAAAGGTTGTCAGAAGTGACTCATGCTTATAGCAGAGGAATAAGTCAGTGGATAGAAATGACACTTAGTGCTCTGGATAGAGACAAGTACACACTATAGATGGATATGCCTTGTTCATATTTCATGTCTAAGGTTTACAACCACTTTAAATTAATGGGATTAGTTCTGCTTTAAGAGAAGAAAGAGTCTGTCTCTGGTTTTTATACTTCAGTGGATCAGTGAAGGTCTGTAAAAAGTATGCAGGCAGTGAAGGTAGACCTCTATGTACTTGTCAGGGTAGTAGCTTTGGAAAGTTGGATAGATACTAGTAGAGTACATTTTCTAATGAAAATCCATACTAAAATTCTCATTAAATTTGAAGGCTTGCCGAGTGTCATTCAAAAGTAGTTCAAAACTTTGTTTACATTTTCTGGTTGTGGCAAAACCACACCTCCCCATTGAAAAAAAAAGAAAAAATTAGGCAAAAATGCATCAAACACACACCTACATTGCATTTCTGGGAAGGTTTTTGACGCTCATGTCCTGTAAAAAATGCACCAAAAACGTGGTAAAATTGTGTGCTGCGTTTTTTGCTACGGATAGGTGTGGAAGTAGCCTTAAAAAAAAAAAAAGAAAAAAAAAAAAGAATGTGCGATATATATATATGTGAGTGCTGCGTTAATTGACAGCACTATATAAGTAACTGTAGTAATAATAATAGTTCTAAATTTAAATTCCCATTATTCATCAGGTCACTGGTGACAATTTTTCAGTGACCTAATTTTGAAAAGAACAGACAGAAAAGAAGTGGGTTGAATGACAATGGGTGTTACGTTGGGTTCAACCTCTAATAGGAGCGGCAGCCAGGACTGGGGGTGATGTCAAATACAGCACTACAGCATGGGGAGGGATAGTACTTCTCTGAGGGGGGGGGGGGGTGATTATGAGGGAAGAACTTTTTGATAGAAATAGGCTTAAAAAAATTAAAATGGACCCAAAAGTGTATTTTCCCTTAAGCATCTTCAGAACATTTCAATAAAATCAAAGTAAAAGAAACACTTGCAGAACAAAGTAAATCATTTGGAGCTATTTTTCACACTGTGGTGATCATGGTATTAATCTGTCTAGTTTTCTTATCATTTGATAGTCTGAGAGCTAAGAACAAAGCGCACTCTACACTTCAGTCCTTGTATGAGGATCCTCACCACTTGAGCTGCTCAACCCTGTCACCACTTTTCTTTTCAGGTTTCATCCATGAGGACCATTTACGTGAGCTCCTTACCACAATGGGGATCGCTTTACAGATGAGGAAGTGGATGAGATGTACAGAGAAGCACCGATTGACAAAAAAGGCAACTTCAACTACGTGGAGTTCACCCGCATCCTGAAACACGGAGCCAAAGACAAGGATGATTAAGATGACCAAAGAGTTACAAAGATTATTTTAAAGATGGAGGAGCCTTGGTTCTGCAGCCAGGGAAGTTTGTGTCCTGTTTACCTCAGCAGCACCCTTCCTTCCCTTTCTGCAGCCATCGGCCGCCATCTGTGAGAGGCCCTGTAGGGAGAAGATCCACACTTGAGACCACATTTAATTCCACCGTAGAAGAGATCATTTGGGCAGCCTTCAGGAACAAATCAAGTGACTGGGATTGAAGTCCATGGTTGATTCTGAATGTGATAATTAATCAGAACTGTCATCTCTAATAATTCATTAAGGCAAGGCCTCTGTAGGTGTCCACAGTCTCTTCCCACAGAGGCTCCATCAGGAAAGTGCTTGTAGAAAAATGTGACTTTAATGAGACCACTGCCCAGTGATATTACATCAGCCACATAGATATGACGAAGTCCTATTAATATATAACAAAATAAAGAAATTGATTTATTAACATGAGAACACCTGTGTGTCTATCCATGTGTATTCACAGACAGATGTTTAGACCTTTAAGAGGTCCACCACAGTCCATCTTACAAGTTGAATATATTTGTTGGAGTATGCAGTATGAGTTGTTTGCTAGACAATTCTAGAATCCCTGGTGCCATGGGCAGTGAAGACTGTACTTGCTTGCAGTACATAAGAAATACAACCAAAATACAATGTTCTCCGATATCTTTCTTGGTATATTGTTTTCAACCCATGCCCGGACAAGTTCTGGGACCAGGGGCGGACTGACCATTCAAGCACTCGGGCACTGCCCGAGCCCGAGGTCAGTAGGGGGCCCCATGAAATGCCCCTGGCAGCTTTTTTATAGGCTTTTTGGGTGTGCGTTGAGTGTGGGCAAGGACACGGGCCCCATGATCCCCTATTGCCCGGGGGCCCCATGAGTTGTCAGTCCACCCCTGCTGGAACCTGTATTCAACTACATCCCTATAGATCCACCATCATGTATACCCTATACTTTTTTATTTTAGATGCTGTTTATTGGGTTTTAGATGGACAAACAGGTATGATATACAACAAAACCGTTAACACAATTCACAAACTGTTGTCCTTCACCCGACTTAGAGTATTAATAAGATAAATAGCCATGGTAAGTCTATGTTGCGCTCCTAAATACTTCTCAATAAATAATTAAGTTATTACCATTAAATTAATTCAAATTATGATACAAATAACTAATAAAAGTGTATAAATACCAAAAAAAATATTTAAATAGATCATTTCAACTAATCAATCTCCTCCAAATAAATATCAAAATAATTCCACATAAAATACTCCTCTAAAAAAATATTTTACCAAGTGCTCATAAATCATTGGTGACATGATGTACTTACTAATACCCTCAATTTCATTTATATTCATAATACCCTCATTTAATATAACAAAAATAATAAACCAACTAATAACACTCAACTAAAACGCATTTAAATGATCCCCATAAACAAAAATAACCAAATGCTCATAAATAACTAGTAGTGATTAGTATGAATCCAAACATCATCAAAATAATAGTCCCATTGAATAAACAATTGTTTGTATATAGTGACTAGAGATGAGCGAATCGAACCTGGCGAAGTGGAATTCGTTTCGAATTTCAGGAAAAATTCGATTCGCATAGAATCCGAATTTTAGCAAACTTCGGGTGCACGAATCGAATTTTTCCCGATCAGCCGGCAAAAGTGTCACTGCAGAGAGCTCCCGCTATTTCTGACAGTTCTGACAGTTCATTTACAGCGGTTGAAACATTGTATCTATTTGTTTCCATTTAGGATACAGATGTTTTTATTCGGAAATAAATAGATACAATGTTTCAACCGCTGTAAATGTGAAGGAACTGTCAGAGAACTGTCAGAAATAGCGGAGCTCTCTGCAGATACACTTTTTGCTGTACTGGAATACTTCTTCTTTTCATTCTTCTTCTTCTTTTCATTCTTCTTCTTCTTTTCATTCTTCTTTTCATTCTTCTTCTTCTTCTTTTCATTCTTCTTTTCATTCTTCTTTTCATTCTTCTTTTCATTCTTCTTCTTCTTCTTTTCATTCTTCTTCTTCTTTTCATTCTTCTTTTCATTCTTCTTCTTCTTTTCATTCTTCTTCTTCTTCTTTTCATTCTTCTTCTTCTTCTTCTTTTCATTCTTTCTTCTTCTTCTTCTTTTCATTCTTCTTCTTCATTCTTCTTTTCATTCTTCTTTTCATTCTTCTTTTCATTCTTCTTCTTCTTCTTTTCATTCTTCTTCTTCTTCTTTTCATTCTTCTTCTTCTTTTCATTCTTCTTCTTCTTTTCATTCTTCTTCTTCTTTTCATTCTTCTTTTCATTCTTCTTCTTCTTTTCATTCTTCTTCTTCTTCTTTTCATTCCTCTTCTTCTTCTTTTCATTCCTCTTCTTCTTCTTTTCATTCTTCTTCTTTTCATTCTTCTTTTCATTCCTCTTCTTCTTCTTCTTTTCATTCTTCTTCTTCTTCTTCTTTTCATTCTTCTTCTTCTTTTCATTCTTCTTTTCATTCTTCTTTTCATTCTTCTTCTTCTTCTTCTTTTTCATTCTTCTTCTTCTTCTTCTTTTCATTCTTCTTCTTCTTCTTCTTTTCATTCTTCTTCTTCTTCTTCTTTTCATTCTTCTTCTTCTTCTTTTCATTCCTCTTCTTCTTCTTTTCATTCCTCTTCTTCTTCTTTTCATTCCTCTTCTTTTCATTCTTCTTTTCATTCCTCTTCTTCTTCTTCTTTTCATTCTTCTTCTTCTTTTCATTCTTCTTTTCATTCCTCTTCTTCTTCTTTTCATTCTTCTTTTCATTCTTCTTCTTCTTCTTATTCTTCTTTTCATTCTTCTTCTTCTTCTGTTCATTCTTCTTTACATTCTTCTTCTTTTCATTCTTCTTTTCATTCTTCTTCTTCTTTTCATTCTTCTTTTCATTCTTCTTCTTTTCATTCTTCTTCTTCTTCTTTTCATTCTTCTTCTTCTTTTCATTCTTCTTTTCATTCTTCTTCTGTTCATTCTTCTTTTCATTCTTCTTCTTCTTCTTCTTCTTTTCATTCTTCTTCTTCTTTTCATTCTTCTTCTTCTTCTTTTCATTCTTCTTTTCATTTTTCTTTTCATTCTTCTTCTTCTTCTTGTCATTCTTCTTCCTCTTCTTTTCATTCTTCCTCTTCTTTTCATTCTTCTTCTTCTTCTTTTCATTCTTCTTTTCATTCTTCTTCTTCTTTTCATTCTTCTTCTTCTTCTTGTCATTCTTCTTCTTCTTCTTGTCATTCTTCTTCTTCTTCTTGTCATTCTTCTTCTTGTCATTCTTCTTTTCATTCTTCTTCTTGTCATTCTTCTTCTTGTCATTCTTCTTCTTCTTTTCATTCTTCTTTTCATTCTTCTTCTTTTCATTCTTCTTCTTGTCATTCTTCTTTTCATTCTTCTTCTTGTCATTCTTCTTTTCATTCTTCTTCTTCTTCTTCTTCTTTTCATTCTTCTTCTTCTTCTTTTCATTCTTCTTCTTCTTCTTTTCATTCTTCTTCTTCTTCTTTTCATTCTTCTTCTTCTTCTTTTCATTCTTCTTCTTCTTCTTCTTTTCATTCTTCTTTTCATTCTTCTTCTTCTTCTTTTCATTCTTCTTTTCATTCTTCTTCTTCTTCTTTTCATTCTTCTTTTCATTCTTCTTTTCATTCTTCTTCTTTTTTTTTTCATTCTTCTTTTCATTCTTCTTCTTCTTTTCATTCTTCTTTTCATTCTTCTTTTCATTCTTCTTCTTCTTTTCATTCTTCTTCTTTTCATTCTTCTTCTTCTTCTTTTTCTTCTTATTCTTCTTCGTCGTGCCCCGTGACTGCCCAAATGAGTGAAGTGTGCGGTGATTCTAAGATCGACGGCACTCATCTGCATGTCATACTGACTGACAGTATTATTTCTCTTCCCCAGCAGACTCCAAGGGCATTTAAATTAAAAGGTACAGTGTTCTGCACTAATATAAAGGCTCTCTGAAGCCTAGAAACCCTTTAAATAAGTTAAATTCGCGGCGAATAAATTTGCATCGAATCGAATTTCTCCCGCAAATTCGGCGAATCAGCCGAATCGAATTTTTGAATAATTTGCTCATCTCTAATAGTGACTTGGTGCTTGTTGTTCTTCAATTTGTGACTTTTGTGAATCCTTCAAATAGTGAAGATGTGCGCTCACCTCCTTTGATGCCTGCAATTAAGCTATACACGCTTTCGGTTCACTTTCCCTGGAACCTGCTGGACATATACTTTTGCTGGTAAAATTGGGAGATCCTTCCTTTAGGAGTAATGGATGTATCCTCTGGTGGCTGATTATCCCCTCAGGGATTACACACTCCTTTTGTTATCTCAGACCTCTTAATTATCCTCTCCTTGTGTTACTCCGCATGCAGGAAGAAATAGAGGACATAGTGCTTTACCTTTTAAAACTTTTTTATTCCCACCATCCAAGTATTAAACTCACATTAGACAGGTTTAAATAACGCAATATCCCATTGGAAATCCTCTGCTGGCCTCTTGAGTCATACACCTGCCGTCTATCGTGTTGTGCAGCTCCTCTCCGAGTGATGACGTAGCCCCTCCCCTACGCGTTACGCCTCCAATCACGTGGCTTCATCAGGGGGTTGTGATGTCCTATCACAACCCCCTGATGAAGCCACGTGATTGGAGGCGTAACGCGTAGGGGAGGGGCTACGTCATCACTCGGAGAGGAGCTGCACAACACGATAGACGGCAGGTGTATGACTCAAGAGGCCAGCAGAGGATTTCCAATGGGATATTGCGTTATTTAAACCTGTCTAATGTGAGTTTAATACTTGGATGGTGGGAATAAAAAAGTTTTAAAAGGTAAAGCACTATGTCCTCTATTTCTTCCTGCATGCGGAGTAACACAAGGAGAGGATAATTAAGAGGTCTGAGATAACAAAAGGAGTGTGTAATCCCTGAGGGGATAATCAGCCACCAGAGGATACATCCATTACTCCTAAAGGAAGGATCTCCCAATTTTA